GTTTTATGACTGCATAGGTGTTAATGGGCCTCTCTATCTTGAATGGTCCCTTACAACAGGGGGTCTCAACCCTTTTCTTTCTGAGGCCCACCCAACATGCTATAAAAACTCCACAGCCCACCTGTGCCACAATAACTAGCTTTCTCCAGATAAAAGCCAGGACCTGTGTTAGGGGGTAGCAAGCAGGGCAGTTGGCTGGGGCCCCATGCCACAGGGGGCCCTGCAAAGTTACATTGCTCAGGCTGTGGCTTCAGCCCCTGGTGGTGGAGCTCAGGGCCCTGGGCTTCAGCCCCATGTGGTGGGGCTTTGGCTTTCTGCCCTGGGCCCCAGAGAGTCTAATGCTGGCCCTGCTTGGCGGCCCCCCTGAAACCTGTTCACAGCCCCCCTGCCTTACAGTATGTGCTAACTACTGATATTAAAGACTTTGCATTTTGCTGGGACACTGGAAATTCCTTTCCCAGACCCAAAGAACAGCTCTGGGGGGCTCAAAAGCTTGTCTCTCACCACCAGAAGTTGGTCCAATAATAGATATTACCTCATGCACCTTGTCTCTCTTGTATCCTGGGACTGACACAGCCACAACTAGTACGTTGCCCAAAGTCTGTGGCAGAGTAGGTGGGGAGTAGAACCTAGGACTTAATTCTCAAATTCTTGCTCCAACCAGTAAACAACACTCCCCTTACCAGGTGCCAGAACAGGGATACAAATGAATCTAAAATGGGAACAAAGAAGTCACACCAAACAAATTACACTGATATGTTTTTGCATGTGTGAAGCAAGAGAACATTCCAAAATCAGAGAGAAGGGTCTGCTGCCCCTCCTCTAATGATAGACTGTTGGTCCTGCCAGAAACTCCTCCAAAGTCCATCTCAGCACCTGGAATTGGAGACAAAGTCTTAAACTGGTCCCATCCGATTTATCAAAAGGTTTTTAAAAAGCAACTCTGTATCCCACACCCAGAATTACAATTTTTCATTATAAACACAAAACACTGTTTCAAAAGCAGTTTGTAGATGGAGAAACAACTCAAGAAAAAAAATTCTAGAGCTGCAGAAGTCACAATTGTCTTGATCCTTTAACTATGTATCTGAAAACTTACTCCCTTGTATCTAGCACAAGACAGCTTATGGGCAACAGGGTAGTGTCAGTAGGTAGAGGGTATTTCACAGTTATTTGCACCTCTCTGGTTCATTATCAACCCCAAGGTAAAAGCTGGCAGTTCTCCATACCTTGAAGCATCCAAGAACTTGAATGGTGTTACAAAATCCTCAATGGGAATCATTTCCTGGGCAGCTTTTTCCATCTTTTTTATCCTTTTCTTCATACGGTCCTTTAGTGCTTGTTCTCTCTTTGGATCAACCTTCTTTTTCTTCCTCGGTTCTGCTCTAGTGGAGGAAATTAATTTAAAAAATTTGTATCTGTGTATACACATGTAATACTGAATACTTTTTGTTTCTATAGTAAACCCATTCCAGAATAAAAGGGTGTGTCTGATAGGGAATATTTATCTATCCATACTGGAAATTTGAGAAGCATTCTTGCAGCAAATCAATATAAACTGTAATATACTACATTTTCTTATATCAATCTATACACAGAAGAATACTACTTAGCACTTTGCAAACATTAACAAATTAGTCCTCACAGCACTCCTGTGAAGAATCATGCCCATTTTACAGATAAGGAAACCAAGACAGTGGGTCAGTGAATTGCATAATGCTACAGAATAAGTCCATGGCAGTCTGTCTTAGAACTCTGGTGTTCAAT